AAAAAAAAACAAATCTCAACACCGAACAAGTGCCGACGGCAAGCAATAAAAACAACATTTAAGTTCCGAATTCCAAAAACACCAAACAAAGACCAAACTTTTGGAAACCCTAAAAATAAGCGGTACCCAAATCTGTTAAGGAGAGGAAAAGGGTATCGTCAGTTACCTGAGTATAGAGAGGGAGATGCTTGGTGGTTGTGATGATGTCAGAGAGACGCCGGCAGGCCGCCGTGATTTCACTGAGCAGTACTAGTGATTTTTAACTCAAGTTTATTTGAAGCCCGTTTTGTTAAATAAGGCTTAAAAAGTTCGTTAAAAGTCCGCGCTGCTGCTGCACTTCCAAAGTTCCAATTGATTTGGGAGAATAAAAGTGAACAGTTAATGAGTTAATGACATTATTTTGGGTTGGCTAATGGGCTAAAGAATATATTGGGTGGGTTCAAGGTCTAATGGGCTAAAGGAAATATTGGGTTGGTCTAGAAAACTAACATGAAACCCTAAGCCCAATAATATTTGGTTCCAGTCGAAAATAATATTACCGAACCATGTAAAAACAAGAACCGTAACTGAACCGAAAAAGAATCGGTTACCGAAACGATCGGTTCGGTTTTTTCCATGTTGATTCGGTCCTAGCTGAAAGTGCATATTTATTTTGTTAAAATATTTTCAATTCGGTTCAGTTGAATCGAACAGCTTGTAACGGTCTCTTTGTGTTTCTATTCAAGTTTGGTTCAACTCGGTTTTTATTGGAGTTTGGTTCAACTCAATCCGTTTTTTCGACTTTCCCCTTGAAACCCAATTGAGTCCATTATTTGTTTCTGCCTTTTAGAATAAAATATATACATTTTTAAAAAAAAATAAAAATGAGCCTGTTTTATTTGAAGTTTGATCTTTTCATAGAACCATATAATTTATGGTTTTCAGGCTGCCATCTCAAGGCTCATGTACAGCATTATCTTTTATCCAAGAACACAATTTATGTCCCTCTCCACATCAACTCTCAGGCAAACATGATCTCTGAAATTTTGCTTTCGCTTCTGAGTGAAAATTAAAATCGAAAAAGAACAAGAAAAAGAAGCACAGTAATCATAATTGAAGTCCAAAAGCTTATAGATAGAACTCATCAAAAGAACTGTGTTTGGAACTTGGGTACAATGCCAACAAGCTGTCAGTCAAGAAAGCAGATATAGAATCCAAATAAACATATCAAAAGCCCCATAATAAACCCAAACATAACAACTACCAAAAGTCATGTTTACTTAGCCTCATTTCTTATCGGCATTGCTCTCTAATTCTCTCTTGAGCTGCACCGAGAAATCATCATTGACATCATCGTCATCCCAATCATCCTCCCATTGCTGAATTACTTCTTTCCCCTCTTCATTTTCCTCCCACTCTACAAGTATCCCGTGATTACAAAAAAAAATAAAATCAGTAACTCGGTAAAAGCAGATAAAAGTCGGGGATCCTAAAGAAAGATTCCAAATATTTGTGATTGAACAAGAAAAGCTATGATTCGAATAATACTTCCATCATCGTGCATTTGATTATCAAGCACAGATTTGTCTATTTCATAGAGAACTAATGGTACCTACAAAAAGATCTTTTCATGCGGAACTTCTGATAAAACCATTACCAGTTTCTTAAAATTACTTAAAAAGTGACTGACTTACGCTATCAGAAGAAGTAATTTGTGACTTTTTCCTCCTGATAAAACCATTACCAGAGACACATCCTATCAGTTGTTAAAGCATGTCATATTAAATGCTACCCAATTCAAAGTCGTAAGAAAAAAAAAAAA